AAGCTGAGCACGTGACCCACACCGGCCAATCAAAATCTTCCCTGTGGATACCAGAAAAGAGCGTCTCTAACACTGGAATCACAAGCTGTAAATATTTTTTTGTGGCTCCAAGAAGGAAACTATTTGCAATAGACAAGAATAAGGTTAACATGCAAAGAGAAGCAGAATTCAGGGAGGCTGAGATAGAGCTTTGATATTCTTTGAGACTTGGATCAAACCATTTATAAATCAAGAGTATCCCCTGGACTTTCTCACTTATGAAACCAATACATTTCACATTCCATTTTTTTCCTTTGCTTAAATGAGTCAGAATTCAATTTCTGTCAGTTGGAAAGGAAAGTCCAGGGCCCCAATTTTGATGAATTGAGTGAAGGTGATACTTGCCATTTTCCCAGTTTTACAGATAGTTCTGTTCATGTGCTTCTGGTTATACTGAAATTAACACTGGGAGTTTCCTGTAGACGCTTAAGGAATAAAGCTATAATAGCTTTCTTAACCATTATCACCTCCAAACATTTAGCTTCATCAGACTTGGGAGCAAGATAAATTTAAAAGGTGCCTCTTTGTGTATTCTGAATTGTTAACTCATGTCCTCAGTCTTCCTATTTCTTAAATATGTGTAGTTAATGGCTCAGAGCTTAGATTCTAGAAACACTGACTGCCTGGGTTCAAATTCTGGCTCTGCTACTTACAAGTGAGGGACTCTTATGCAAGTTACCTAACCTCTTCATGCCTTCTAGCCACCTGTCTTCTAAGCCATGAGGCCCACCTTGCCTGCCTAGCCTCCCACGGAGAGCTGAGGTAGATGAGCAGATGGCTCAGGCTGGCCAATTAGAGTTCTTCCTCCTTGGCCACAGCTGGTGGGGGGTCAAAGCTGAGCACGTGACCCACACCGGCCAATCAAAATCTTCCCTGTGGATACCAGAAAAGAGCGTCTCTAACACTGGAATCACAAGCTGTAAATATTTTTTTGTGGCTCCAAGAAGGAAACTATTTGCAATAGACAAGAATAAGGTTAACATGCAAAGAGAAGCAGAATTCAGGGAGGCTGAGATAGAGCTTTGATATTCTTTGAGACTTGGATCAAACCATTTATAAATCAAGAGTATCCCCTGGACTTTCTCACTTATGAAACCAATACATTTCACATTCCATTTTTTTCCTTTGCTTAAATGAGTCAGAATTCAATTTCTGTCAGTTGGAAAGGAAAGTCCAGGGCCCCAATTTTGATGAATTGAGTGAAGGTGATACTTGCCATTTTCCCAGTTTTACAGATAGTTCTGTTCATGTGCTTCTGGTTATACTGAAATTAACACTGGGAGTTTCCTGTAGACGCTTAAGGAATAAAGCTATAATAGCTTTCTTAACCATTATCACCTCCAAACATTTAGCTTCATCAGACTTGGGAGCAAGATAAATTTAAAAGGTGCCTCTTTGTGTATTCTGAATTGTTAACTCATGTCCTCAGTCTTCCTATTTCTTAAATATGTGTAGTTAATGGCTCAGAGCTTAGATTCTAGAAACACTGACTGCCTGGGTTCAAATTCTGGCTCTGCTACTTACAAGTGAGGGACTCTTATGCAAGTTACCTAACCTCTTCATGCCTTCGTTTCCCAGTATAAAAATTCCCCATATAAAATATTGATACTTATTTTCTAGAGCTGTTGGAGAATTAAACATGTGAAGTGCTTGGAATTGTATCCAGTACATAGAAGTAGTCAATAATTGTTAGTTGTCATTATTGGTTACTATATTACCTAGGGAAACCTAGAGATGGTGCCCTCCTCATAAATTTACTGTAAATGCATGTACATACATGTATAAATGCATATACTGACTGCAACATAATGAGATGAATGGTACATATTGATATTTTTAGACATTAGGCTTGTCAATTTCTAGGCAAGCACTTTGGGTTCTCATTAGTATATCAGTGGTTTCAGGGTCCTCCTGTGGGTCTCTCCTACAGGCCACAGTCCTTGGGCTACATTTAAGGTCTAAGTTCCAATAACTGCACAGAAAATGAGACAGTGTTACCTTCAGGAGATTCTAATAGACACACAGTGGATCTAGAGTACTCCTAGAAAGATATATATACACTTTAATTTCATAAAATATTTACACAATTGCCCAAGATACAAGTGACCCCATTTTTTAGGTTCCTTAAAATGGTGTTTAGGCTTGAATCAATATCTGCCATTGGGAATCTTCTTTCCCTAACCAAACCACAGGGATTCTAATGAAACTCAAATAGTTTTGTGAAAGCTACAAATTTAATGTGCTATCTCTAAACAACATCTTTCTTTTTCCTGAGAAGATCTTATGGTCTGGAGGTTCCAATATTTGAAAATGGAACAGTGGGTCTCAACATTTCAAAGCCAAAGACAATGAATCAAAAACATTCAAACTGTACTCAGAAAGACTAACATTTCTCACCTCAACTTAATTCTTCACTTTTGTTCCAGATTATCTAGAGTACTGGCTCTAAATGGGGGCATTTTGAATATTCAGAGGTGCAGTTTCATTTGTCACAATGACTGTGTGTTACACAGATACACACACACACAAAGGGCAGTGACAATAGAGTTCTTGCCACAATACACAGCCCTGCAAAACAAGGACTTTTCTACATCCCATGCAATTTTCCAGTAACAGAGGTGAAAGCCTGTTTATAATCACATGAGCCTGGACCTTCTGCTTTATGTATAAACAAAATATATTTTTGGAATGGCTTTATTATACACTGAATTTTCCCGGAATGCAACTACTGTGTGAATTAAGAGGAACTTGCACGTTGTTTAGAACTTTATGACGAGTTAATCTCATCATGGAAAAATCACTTCCCCAACAATAGCACCACTGATTGTATTGGAGTTGCCAAAGTAATCCACAGTCGGCCTGCACCCGTAGCTGTTCTACTGATGGAGGGAGCTCCAGCATCAGGTGCAGGCATCTGACAACTCCACTGTGGTTTCTAATATACTGGGGCCTGAATATTTATAAACTGAAATACACACAATTTTACTATGCATTCCTTTCCTTTGTTTTCCCCTTTGTATTATTAGGACATTTCAGTGACTTTTTAAAACATTATGCACATCAGTAGACTATATTATCTATGAATTTCATTTTGGGATGGTGAATAGAGTGCTAAAAAGTGTTTTTAAAAAAAGTGCTGGTTTGTAAGGGTGAGAATTACTGTTTGAGAGTATTAACAGAATGGAAAGAAATACTCAAATTGTTTTCTCTGACTTCCCACTACAGAAGAACTTACTACAGGGAAACCATCATGTTGGTTTTATGGGATTTTGTTCTATAAAAATTAAAAGGGGAAAAGAGAAAAATGGACAGGTAACTAAACAGATTAAGAAATATTGAGAGGAAAAGAAAAACACTTTAGCATGAGGCGGTGAAGTCTTCTCACCTCAACTTAATTCTTCACTTTTGTTCCAGATTATCTAGAGTACTGGCTCTAAATGGGGGCATTTTGAATATTCAGAGGTGCAGTTTCATTTGTCACAATGACTGTGTGTTACACAGATACACACACACACAAAGGGCAGTGACAATAGAGTTCTTGCCACAATACACAGCCCTGCAAAACAAGGACTTTTCTACATCCCATGCAATTTTCCAGTAACAGAGGTGAAAGCCTGTTTATAATCACATGAGCCTGGACCTTCTGCTTTATGTATAAACAAAATATATTTTTGGAATGGCTTTATTATACACTGAATTTTCCCGGAATGCAACTACTGTGTGAATTAAGAGGAACTTGCACGTTGTTTAGAACTTTATGACGAGTTAATCTCATCATGGAAAAATCACTTCCCCAACAATAGCACCACTGATTGTATTGGAGTTGCCAAAGTAATCCACAGTCGGCCTGCACCCGTAGCTGTTCTACTGATGGAGGGAGCTCCAGCATCAGGTGCAGGCATCTGACAACTCCACTGTGGTTTCTAATATACTGGGGCCTGAATATTTATAAACTGAAATACACACAATTTTACTATGCATTCCTTTCCTTTGTTTTCCCCTTTGTATTATTAGGACATTTCAGTGACTTTTTAAAACATTATGCACATCAGTAGACTATATTATCTATGAATTTCATTTTGGGATGGTGAATAGAGTGCTAAAAAGTGTTTTTAAAAAAAGTGCTGGTTTGTAAGGGTGAGAATTACTGTTTGAGAGTATTAACAGAATGGAAAGAAATACTCAAATTGTTTTCTCTGACTTCCCACTACAGAAGAACTTACTACAGGGAAACCATCATGTTGGTTTTATGGGATTTTGTTCTATAAAAATTAAAAGGGGAAAAGAGAAAAATGGACAGGTAACTAAACAGATTAAGAAATATTGAGAGGAAAAGAAAAACACTTTAGCATGAGGCGGTGAAGTCGTTATACTCTTCAAATGTCAGATTTTCCTAAGGAATTGTTCCTTTTGTTCCAGCCTGTTTTTCTTCTTTCTTCCCCTTGCATAAGAAGTGAGTAACAGCATTCACTTAAATCAATACATTGAGTTTTATATTAGCCAGCTCTAGTTTGATATTTCCTACAAATGAATCATGCCTTCTCCCTCCCATAGCAAAAACCCTTTTCTAGTAAAGGTCTGATTACCCTTAAAATCTGCTGCTCATGAGATCCACAGAATTGGTTTATAAAATCACAGGCATTTCCTAGCTTCTTCTCAAGCATAAAGAATCATACTGACTACCTGCACTAACATATAAATTCTATCTGAAGCAGGTTAGTAGTGCATAAACCCCAGCTCCCAGGATAGTTTCGATAGTTAAGGACTGGCTATTCTCTTCTAAGTTGTTCAGAGATCTTGAGAAAGTTATTCAACCTCCCAAATTTGTTCTCCCAAGCAGAAATAAAGCTTAGAAAATACTCTTTTCTTCTTTAGAGCCTGCTCTTGTAGTATCACACAAAAATTAGAACCATGTCTCCCTGTGCTTACCACCTTAGGGTGCTCAGCTAAGCTAAACTTACCAGATTAGGTAGCTTGAGCATCTCAGAGGACAGATCTTTCATTCAGCGCTGTTAATTATTGACTGGAACTGAAAGCCAAGAAAATCTGATATTTAACATCTGCTTCTACAAGTTGGAAATCTATAGCTGCTGTGAAGTGGTTCTCTGGTTTTTGATTTTGCTCAAGGTCCAATTTGTTCTCGTTTCAAGAACAAGGTTGATTTTCTCATAGCATTCACTTACTGCTTACCTAGAATGCTTCCTGACTTCACTTTCTTGTGGATGTCATATACATAAACAACTCAAATGCCGTGCTCCTGACAGAACTTACCTCCCATGGGCTTCAGCCACCCTGTGGCGTTTTCCTTGTTTCTTTTCTCTCGCCAGTTTCCTCTGCCCACCAAAGTACTTATGGAAGGCAGTAACATGGTTGCCATTCTTGGCAGTGTCTACACTAGAGATCCCGTTATTCCTTCCTCAATCTTGAACTCTTTTTAGAGAACCTGCCTAGTTCAGAGCCAGAGAAGAAAAGTTTTACTAAATAGGGAAGCCTGTCCCCTTTGCCAGAGCTGTCAGGACAAGGGGAGCTGATCTATATAATGAGATGAGTCAAGCAGGGTGCCTAGGTCAAGAATTGAAACCAAGAAACAAAGTGAAGCTGGTGGCCCAGAGTATCAATTGTTTTAAATGGTACAAATGCTCTGATACTCCTCCCATGAAGAGGTGGAGCCTCTGTTCCCTCCTCTTGGACCTGGGTGGGCTTTTGACTACTTCCACAAAGAGAATTTGGCAGAAGTGACTCCCAGGTTAGGTAAAAAAAGAAAAAAGGCATGCAACTTCTCCCCGGAACTTTTGGGATGATTACTTCTTGGATCTTCCTTCTTAGGACACTCCCTCTCAAAACTCTGCACTGCCAAATAAAAAGTCTATCTTTTGGCCTCCATATTAATAAGCCCATGTGTAGGCACTCAGGCCAACAGTCCCAAGGGAAGCCCAACACTTTCACAGTTCTTACTAAGAGGCCAAGAGTATGAATGAAGAAGCTATGTTGGAAGTGGCTTCTCCAGGCCCAGGTCCTCAGCCCTTTGAGTCTCCCACAGTCTCTTTAAAGAAGCTGGGTGTTTTCCAGAGTTCCACAACCTGACCTCCACTAAGGCTTTGAAACAAGTGTGGAAGAGGACAGTTTTATTGTTGACTAGGCAGGTGTGTACTGGTTTTTATAAATGGAATGGTTTTTACTATATAATAAATTGTTAGTGATAGACTACTTAGAGTAATTGTTCAATCTATTCTGTCAAAAGCTTTGAAATACACTTATGAGTTTGGGGGTTTCCTGAAAACCTGCATCATCAATACAGGCAATTGAAATAAAAAGCTATATGTTATAATAATAATACTTGGAGAATATGTATCTGTTTAGAGTGACTGTCTATGCATTTCAGTTTTTGGTGAAAGAAAATAGTGAAGAATGGAGTACAAAGGCAAAAATTTGTATAAAATATTCTTAGAGAGGAAACTTTATATTCTATGCTTTGCACAGCACATCCATTCAAGTAGATACAAATGATGAGACTTGTTCATCAAGTAAAAAAGATACATGAGAAATGTCCAAGGGAAACAAATCAATAAATATTCCAATCTCACTCCAAATGTTATCTGAGAAAACTTTATCCATTAAAACTACCAGTAAAGTGCTCGCTTTGGCAGCGCACATACTAAAATTGGAACGATACAGAGAAGATTAGCATAGCCCCTGTGCAAGGATGACACGCAAACTCATGAAGCATTCAATATTTAAATAAATAAATAAATAAAAATAAAACTACCAGTAAATACCTGCCATCACTACTTACCAGAAGGATAGAAAGAACCAAAGGAAACAAACTTCCAACATGGCAATGACAAGAGCAGTGCCTCAAGTGTTAAGCACTGGCTTTAGAGAATATAAAATATTGTTAAAAATTCATTTGAACCTTACTATCATACTATAATGGGACATTGCCCAATGCATCAAACCATATTTTAACGATGTCCTTTCAGGTACTTTAATAAGGAAAGGATCTGAGATGATGCCTAAGCTAGTCTTGCCCTCTAAAAATGTTTGCTGTGGAGTAGTAGTTCTCAACCTTGGCTGTGTACTTGGATCACCCTGGAAGATTTTAAAAATATGGAGGCCTGGGTCCCACTGCTCAAATACTCTGATTTAATGGACCTGGGTGCCAGACTGGCCATAACACTCCCCCCACCCCCCACTGCCCTGCCCCAGGGTGATTCTAGTATGCTGCAAAGGTTGAGAAATATTGCTTGAAGTAGTAGTTCCAAGACCTCAGCACTATCAACATTGACTAGCACAGTACGGTACTAAGTCACTTCAGTCGTGTGTGACTCTCCGACCCCATGGACTGTAGCCCGCCAGGCTCCTCTGTCCATGGGATTGGCCAGGCAAGAATACTGGAGCAGGTTGCCATTTCCTTCTCCAGGAGATCTTCCCTGACCCAGGGATCAAACCCGTGCCTATAAGTCTCCTGCATTACAAGTGGGTTCTTTACCACCAGCGCCACTTGGGAAGCCCCTGGTGGCCAACCTTTGGGGCCAGATAATTACTTACTACCAGGGCCCTCCGGCGCATCACAGCATATTTGGCATCATCCCTGGCTTCCACCCACTAGATACCAGTAGCCCTCGCTCCCACTCCCCTTCCTCGGCTGGGACAGCAAAGAACACCTCTAGGCATTGCCAAATGCTGGTGAAGTACAGTCAACCAAAGAGGTTTGAAGTTACTGACATTACAACAAAAAGGGAAAATTAACCCACCTAATTGGGTTACCTAATTATACTCTGAGCACTAGAGCTTCCTGCATTTTATTTGCAAATGTAATTACACCAGGCCCATAATACTCTCAGGTATGATTTTAAAACACATGCAGGCCTGAAGATGAGTAGGCAAATTTGGCTGTGTTTATTTCTTTCTAATACTTTTCACAAGCTAAATCTTAAGTGCAAAAATCAAATACATATCTAATTCTGTGAGGGCATTTTCATTTTCCCTAGTTCCTAACCTCAGATTGAATTTTCTATAGGTTAGAAAGCAATTTGAAGAATGGAAGGTTAAAAATGTATGAGTTTTTTTCAAAACATTTTAAACAAATCTAGCCTCAAAGAAATGGTCCCTAGGAAATGAGGGGACAGTTATTTGTTAGTTCCATCCATGTTTTTCTTCTACAAATGCTGACACAATGAAAGACTCACTTATTTACTGCTGTTTTCTTTAAGAACAAAGAACTTAAGGTAGAGCAGTTTGGTAGAAAAGCAGAAGATCACAAAAAAGGGAAATCAGGGCACTGTAAAAAGTGGAAGAGACAGGCAAGATCTTCAGTGACTGTCTCATTTCCACTTCTTCACTGTTTTCTTAAACAATAGAAGAGACAGCCAAGAAGTAATAAAGAAAGAACAGGAAACTTTTTTTTTTTACTGAAGATAACAGCTGAGTCAAATACAAAAAAAAATTTATTGTTATTCTACCCATCCATTCTAAAAATAAACAGAACAAGTCATCGACATTTTTAATAAATATAAAAATTTAAAAAGTAATACATTTTAGAACAGCCATTTAAATGAAAGAAACAAAGAGAAAAATAAGGCGAGGGGTGGGGAGTGAGAGATTGTTGAAAGCAAGAGAGAGATGGAGACGAAGATGACAACATTACCAACTAGAGGATAATGCCTTAATTTGAAGGATTTAGGATACTGCTGAGAAAACTAACCTGCAATTTCACAACTATTGAGGTACTCGAGTCCTAGGGTCAGAATGTTTGTATCCCCCCTATGAATTCTCAGGTTGAAATCCTAATGCCCCCATGATGGTATTAAGAGATGCGCTTTTTGGGGGTGATTAGGTCATGAGAGCAGAGCCCTCATAAATGGGATGAGTGCTCTTATAAAGGAGGCCTGAGAAAGCTACATAGCCTTTACTCCATGTGAGGACCCAAGAAGTCAGAAGAGGGCCCTCAGCTGACCATAAAAGTACCCTATCTTGGACTTTCAGCCTTTAAAAACCATGCAAAATAAATTTCTATTGTTTATAAACCATTTACAATGGGGTTACATTCTGATCAATCCATTGTAAACGGAAAATACCATTAAGTTGAAAAGGCAATTAATACATTTACTGAACATCAAAGCTTGGTCTAGCCTACCCTAAAAGTGCTCAGAACACTTACATTAGCCTGGGCTTAGTCACTCTGTCATGTCCAACTCTTTGTGACCCCATGGACTGTAGCCCACCAGGCTCCTCTGTCCATGGAATTCTCCAGGCAACAATACTGGAGTGGGTTGCCATTTCCTTCTCCATACATTACCTACAATTGGACATCTAAAATCATCTAATACAAAGCTGATTTTATAATAAAGTGTTGAGTATCTCATATAATTTACTGAATACTGTACTGAAAGTGAATATGAGAATGGCTATCAGCAAATTGGTTGTTCACCCTCACGATCATGTGGCTGGCTGGGAGCTTCAGCTCACTGCCCTGGTCAGCCTCATGAGAGAGAACCCTACTGTGTATGTCTAGCCTGGGAAAAGAGAAAAATGCAAAATTAAAAGTCCAATTTCTTCTGAATACATATCACTTTTGCACCTCATAAAGTCAAAAGATCGTAAGTCGAACCATCGTAAGTTGCGGGCTGTCTGTATTTTATTATAGCAACCTGGACAGACTACAGCACTGGACATATGTGAAGATGCTCTAGAAGGAGATGTCTTCATGAAATAGAGGAGACAGAAGGGATATGCAAAATGAGAAGTTGACGGCATTGCTTTAGCGCTGGTGAAATGAAGCTGAGGTATGGGAAAGGAGGCTGGGGTAAGCACCCTACAGCCATCTGGCGCTGAGAGCAGGGCTACACACTCCAGCTTGGGTTTAGAGAAGTGGGGTGTAGGCAGTCATTAGGAAATTAGAGGAAAAGATGATGATACTGGAGAGAGGGAGATGGAGGAGCTGGCAGAGTCAAAGTAGATATTTTTACAAGGCAGACTGTGGTAGCCTGCCTCTAAGCTGCCCTGCAAGCTGAAATCCACGGGGTCACA